TCTAGCAAGTTCAAATTTGAATCTAGCAAAATTCAAAAATATCCTGACAGGGTAGAATTCTGGGCCAAATAAAAAGAAAATAGAAATTAAGTGAGAATAAATGTAAATTTTTACATGTATTCAAAAATAAATTTTGTGAGTGCAAGATAGTTAAGCATGACTAGACAATGTTTTGTGAAAGATCTGAGTGTTTTGCATGTTTTACTTAAGTAAAGCAAGTGATATGACAGGCCTAAAAGTTAATGCCATAATAGATAAATAATGAGATTACATAACAGAGAAATAATGTCTGTGAAGAAGGGAGTGATTTTTCTTTTATTTGGCTTTTGTAAGAATTCATCTGGCAAGTTTTCTTTGATTTTGAGTGCCACTTTTAAATAAGCTGGAGAGCATTCAGAGAAGATAACCAGAAGTTAAGCTTTAAGTTTATGTCACTTCAAGATTGCTTGAAGAACTGGGAATATTTAGTGTGGAGAGGAGAGGGGAAGTGGGGTTGGAAGAAACACATGATAATGGTTTTCAAGCATTTAAAGGGCTGTCACATTGAAAAGGATTGAGATTATTTTAGTTTGTACTTAGGTAGATATTTCAAAGAGGTAGACTTAAACGTGATATACATAACAAGTTTCCTACGCAAATATAGAATTGGATGCCTTAGGAAGTAGCGATTGTCACCTTATTAAAAATTTTCAAGCAAGGCAAATATGGAATTTCTTTATTGTTTTCAGGGAGTATACTTTGTCAAGTGTTTTGTTAATTTGGTGTTTATTGTGTGTGTGTGTGTGTGTGTGTGTGTGTGTGTGTGTGTGTGCTCAGCAGCTGGGGTTAAGTGACTTGCCCCGAGTCACACAGCTAGTGTTATGTGTCTGAGACTGGATTTGAACTCAGGTCCTCCTGACTCCAGGGCCAGTGCTCTACCCACTTGCACCACCTAGCTTCTTCCTAGAACTTCATTTTTTAAAAAACAAAATGAACCAATGAAAACATTTTAAAGAAAGTAACTTAATTATCTCTATTGATTCATCTGTATTGCTTTCCAAATTCTCTGAAATTTACTAGCAGATACAGAAAACACAAAATTTTACAGTGGGAAAGAATGTCTAGTTCAGTTTCTCATTTTCAAGATAAAGAGACCAAGATTCCAAAAAGACAAATACCTTTCTCCAGACCACACAGGTAGGTAGAATCAGAGCTATGACACCCGCATCCAAACCTCTTGTTCCCAAGATAGTGTTCTTTTAATTCAATCTGGGTTCTAGAATACTTCCCTAATTAGTGTGAAGTGGGTGATGTAATAGTCTGACCTCACTCTTTGGATTCATATCACACTCACATCTCTTCTTCCCTGCCCTTCATTCAGGGCCAACCTCTTAATACATCACCCTGACAGTAACATTTATCTAGACACTTAGATGGAGCTAGGACAGGAGAGGTGAATCTAATGACTTCAATAACACATCTGCTTCTCAACAGCAGCTCTGGTACTTGGTTTTTACACTAACCTCTCAGATTTTTCTCTAACTAGATAGAAAACAGACGTTCAGCTATTATTTTATTGATTCTTTTAGTATCAGTTTTAATTTCTTTTAAAAATTACCTTGTTTTTCATATTAATGAGAACAGAGCACTTTTGGTCATTTCTCTGAGAGTTTGTTACAGGTTTTGTCTGTATTTATCACTGGTTTGGCCTTTGGAAATTGCTGTGAATATCTCCAGTTTTCATTACAGAAAATCAACCACTAGCTATTTTTCTCCATTGAAAAAACTGGAGGTAAGTAGCACAATGCTTAATTGTCTCATGCATCTGAATGTGGAAATGGTTAAATTCCACGAACTATTTTAAACAAAAATGTCTAGGCTAGGATTTGAGTAGGCAAAGGGGAAGATAGATGCCCACTGAAGGTAGGGAACATGATATGAATAAATCACTCATCACTGGTAATATTTTTCCAAGTTCTGAGGAAATTTAACAGTAGAGATGTAGAATTATAGAATGTTAGCACTAAAAGGGTTCTGAAAGTTGTTGTAAGTCAAGCTTCATTTTTTATAGATCAAGTAAAGATCAGATGAGAAATATATAGCTTCATGGGTAAAAACAACATAGATGAATATATTTTTATAGATTCATTGAAAGATACATGAATTTCTGCAAATATGCAAAAGTTTTTGTGGCTTCAAGTCCTTCTCCTAACTTGAAGGTATATCATACTTTATATATTTCTCAGCCTGAATTAAAGCATCAATTTTATACCTGTAGGATTATATTCTGAAGGAGCAAATTAAAAATTTCTGTGAAATAATTTCAACATAAAAATTGCCTCACTTTGAAATTAATGGAATTTAGAGACTATTCCACTATTTATTTATTAATTTTTGAGAAGCAATCAGAGTTAAATGCCTTGTATGGGTTCACATAGCTGGTAAGTGAGGTCAAATTTGAATTCAGGCCCTCCTGACTCCAGGGCCAGTGCTCTATCCACTGCACACCTTGCTGCCCATAGTCATCAATGTTAACCAAACCTATTTTTTTCTGTACTATTAATTCTATTTCACAATTCTCAGAGGGTTAGTCAAAACAAGCAGAGAGCTATATCCACTTTTTCCTGTGACAATCTTTAAAATTATGTCAATCAGTTTGAGGCAGTTCAGTGTAAGACAAAAAGGTTTTAATTCAATTTGATCCAATCCAATTCTATTCAATTAAAACATATCTGTTATGCAAGGCACTTCCCTAAGTACTGCTGCTCAAAAAGAAGAAATAGGTGAAAGAATCTTAAATTCAAATAAAGAAGATAGGACAGAAACAAATATTTTACAGAGCAAAATGTGATAAACACGTCAGATCCAAAGAATCTGGAAAGAAAAAGATCCCTTTGAATTAGTGGATTCAGGGAAAGATGAATAGAATATTTTAAACTGTAGCTAGAGTTCAAAGGAACCAAATGATTTTCATAGGCAGGAACTGTGGTATAGTGGGGGGGGGAAATAATGAATCAGGGTGTCCAGAGGATCTATGCTTGAATTACAGCTTTGCTGTATTGCCAGTTTAACTATGGAAAAATTAATAACATTCTCTTGGATCATTTCATAATTTTAAAAATGAAATGATCAAACAGGATGATTTTATTTTATTTATTTATTTTTAAACTGGATGATTTGAAAGGTCCCTTCTGGTACTAAATACTACGTCCCATATATTCCTGGCAAATGGTGTATCATGAACAAATGCACATTCACAGAAGAAGCTAAAAATGCTGGGAGAGTGAAGAAGAGTTTAGTGAGTTGGGTTGAGAGAACTAGAAATATCTGTCTCCTAGGTAATGTAGTAATAGAGTGCTTGACCTGGAGTCAGAAAGACCTATGTTCAAGTGTGACCTAAGACACTTACTAGATGTATGTTCCTGGGCAAGTCCCTTAACCACAATCTGCCTCAGTTTTTTCAAATAAGCATAATAGGGATAAAAATAGCACCTACTTGTTAAGGTTGTTGTGATGATCAAATGAAATATTTGTATCTCACATCATTTTATAAAGTGCTTAGCATAATGAATGATACATAGTAGGTGCTTAATAAATAAAAATCATGTCATTCCCCTCCCCCAATTTTTAATTTTGACTTCACAGATATGTAAAGAATTGCTGTCAACATGAACATATCTTGTAAGACTGTAGTACATGTGAGCACCTATCTCCCTAGTACACTTCTGGCTACCAGGGGGCTGATTATTAACACATTTTAGTTAGTCAATCAACAAGCATTTATTATTTATTTACTATGTGTCACTCACCATGCTAAGCTGGGGATACAAAAAAAGGCAAAAATAGCCTTTGTCTTCAAGAAGCTTATATTGTAATGTGGGAGATAACATTCAAATAACTAGGCTTATACAGCAGTAGATGTAGTAGGAGAAAAGAGTGGCAGACTCTCAGAAGGGAAGGAAGTAGCAACTGGGGGGAATGGGAAAGGCTGAGTATTGAAGGAAGCTAGAGAAACTAAGAGGTAGGAAGTTAGGAGAGAGACTATTCCAGACAAGGGGGATAGTCAATGGAAAGCCATGGAGAAGGGAGATGGAATATTGTGTTTGAAGAATAGCATCTAGGAGAAATTATCTGGACTGAGGGAATTAAAGAGCAAGAAGATTGGAAAGGTAGAAAAGCTCTAGGTTATGAAGAGCTTTAAATATTAAACAGAAGCTTTTTTGTTTTCATTTTTCATGGAGTAAATAGGAAGACACTGGCATTTACAGAGTAGGGGGTTCCTTGGTCAGACCTAAGCATTAGGAAAATCACTTTGTTAGTTGAATGGAGGATAAATTAGAGTAGGGAAAGGTTTATGGCAGGAGGACCATTTTGAGGCTATTGCAGTAGTTCAGGTGAACTTGTACTAGGATGTTGAGTGATGGAGAGAATGGGTCCTATATAAGAGATGTTAAAAGTAGAAACTACAAGATTTGGCATTCAGCTATAAATAAATATGAGGGAAGTGAGAGTGAAGAGTTCAGGACAACACCGAGGGTGTGAGAGTGGGTGACTGAGAGTGTGGTAACATTGTTGACACTAATAGGGTAGTTCAGAAAAGGGAAGGAAGCATACTGAGCTCCATTTTGGGCATATTGAATTTGAGATGCTCATGTGACAAAAATAAAAGGAAAATGAGTGTTTATAATGTTTTCTATGTTTATCTTAAGCCTACAGAGATCATCTGGAACACTCTTTTAGATAAGAACTATCTAGCAGAATCCTAGGATTTGAAAATGACTGAAGATGATAATTTTCTACCCAAATAAATCTATCTTTAGGTTCAAATTAGAGCATTTGTGTCATAGATTGATGATGAGAATCTCTTCTGTTAGCCAAAATACTTCTATGCTCCCATTAGAACAATCTATAGTGTATCCTTTTCCTTCACTAATAGATGACCTATCATTTATGCATAAAGGACAGAATACAAAATCCTTTGTTGTTTTGATTGTTTTTTAATCTTCCCTAGGTGAGCTGTCATGAAGCAAACAATGTGGGTGGAGAACCAAACTTTTGGGACTAATTTCATCCTGTTGGGGCTCTTTAGCCAAAGCAAACACTCTGCTATCTTTTACTCATTGATATTCATTATTTTCATAGTAGCTCTGACCGGGAATGCCACTTTGGTTCTTTTGATTCAAAGTGATCCTCACCTCCACACTGCCATGTACTTCTTTATCAGTCAGCTTTCCCTCATGGATATGATGTATATCTGTGTCACTGTGCCCAAGATGCTCTTGGATCAGGTAACTGGGATTCATCATATTTCATCCCCAAGCTGTGGAGTTCAGATGTTCCTCTATTTAACACTTATGGGAGCAGAAGTCTTCCTTTTGGCAGCCATGTCCTATGACAGGTATGTGGCCATTTGTCACCCTCCACTATCACATCTTCATGAACCACAGAGTTTGCATACTCCTTGCAATTGTCTGTTGGTTTTTGGGCTCCATTGATGGTTTCACACTCACCCCTATCACCATGAACTTCCTATTTTGTAAATCCCGACAGATCCAGCACTTCTTCTGTGAGGTTCTCGCCTTGTTGAAAATCTCCTGCTCAGACACCTCACTCTATGAGACTGTCATGTATGTGTGCTGTGTCCTTATGCTTCTCATCCCTCTCACAGTTATTTTAAGCTCTTACTCCCTTATTCTCCTCACAGTCTATAGGATGAATTCGGCTACTGGTCGGAGGAAAGCATTTGTCACATGTTCCTCCCACATAACTGTCGTTGTTCTCTTTTATGGAGCTGCTGTTTATAACTACATGTTCCCTGCTTCTTATCATACTGCTGAAAAGGATATGATTGTGTCTGTCTTCTACACTATCCTAACACCTGTTATAAACCCTGTCATCTACAGTATCAGGAATAAAGATGTCACAGCAGCTTTGAAGAAAATGTTATGGTCAAAGATGATTTTAGCTAATTTTCAGAAGTAGAATACGATCTCCAAATAGTTAAAACACTCCACATTCTTTTATTATCTATTATTGGTTCATTTTATTCATGTTGCCCTGTGGTAACTAGGCATCTCTCTCCCTCCCCTCTTCTTCCAAATTAATTTCTTCTCCTTGAGAGTTTTTGAAACCTTTTGGGTTAATATTTTCCTGTTTTAGTATAAAAATCCTTGACATTTAAGTCAGATTATAAGGAGTTGACTTCTCTACCCACAACTTGTTAATTATGTTACCTTGAAGAAATTACTGAAAGTCTCTGAGACTTGGTTAACTTGTCTGTCCAACAAGTGTTAAAGAAATAGTTCTTAAATATCTAAAAGGTGAATGGGACCAGCATGGATTTATCAGAAATTGTTTTTACTAAACTCATCTCAGAGTATGCAATCTTCAGGACCCTCAGTGATGTCTCAAGGTAGAGTATAAGCTGTGGTTATGATGCTGGTTAGCAGGTGTGTCACTTACTGCTGCTGCTACTCATCAGAGATTTCAAAGTCCTCATTATATGTTTTGTTTTGTTTTGTTTTAAAGTATATTTCCTTAGCAAATTAAGCATTTGTTTTAACTGCAGTGTAGTATAACTCTTTTTGCTTACATGTTGAATTAATCACTTTCTTTGTTCACTAATACTGATTAGTAACTAATCGCTTGTAACCTCTTAGCTGGTTTGTTCAATAAATAAATAAAATAACTTGTTAGAACTCTTACCACATAGGCTTTGTGCCCTCCTCCAGTCTAAGATGATGGTAATTTATTTTATAATCATCCTGAAGATAAGTCTAGCATTTGAAGTGGGTAGTTTATGTAGGCTGAGATACAATAATCATTTGAGGCTTCCTTGTATAGCTTTTTTATGGATATAACAGCCACCCAACCAACCTGTAAGTGCACTGTTGAATATATGTGAAGACTGAGCTTCTCAAAAGGCCAGTCATGGTCATGGTGTGTCCCATATCTTCAGGTCTAGAGTGAAGGAGGATATTTGCTGATAAGTAATGTGAGAAGCATGACCTTCCTCTAAATAAGAGCAATTCCCTTCAGAATGCACCATGCAGAAGATGTATTACTACAAAGAAAATTCTCACAGAAGATCATGGCTGCCTGCCTTCTGCAGTTGAGTTATCTTATAAGGAAACACAAATCTATGAGTTGGAGAGACCTCAGAGGCATCTGCCTTCTCTATTACCCTTGCATCTAGCCAGCTGTGTCATATCCTTCAATAAATTTCACTGGGATAAACAAGTTATGTGTTTGACTCTGTTTTTATTTTTAGCCTCTGAAAATTTCCCTTTGAACCCTTAGCAATTGGTGATGATTATGGGAGTGAAAAACAATCTGAGTTTGGCAATGGGAATCCCTTCCTTGACTCTTGATTTGCTTTTAAATTACATGGGTCATAGCAGATCTCAGGCCAAGGTTATTAGACATCTATCATCTTTAAAGGAAGAAAACATTAATTTTCTATTTAAACAATGAATTAGGAATTTTTACAAAATTGGGACTGTCATTTTAAAAAGAACTCTGAACTTACTTTAATTATATCCTTTTAGATATCACAGGTAATAGGACTGATTCTATTTGAGCAATCTTATCAAGGTGGATGCCTTGGTTCCTTGAGGTAAGTGTTAAACTATTAAAATCAAATGGACAGAGGACTGCCAATTGTCTTAAACCTAATTTAGGAAAATTCTGTATCAGACATGTGCAGGTACTCTTAATGCCCAGGTTAGGTAACCTTTGGGCCTTAAAAAAAAGGTATTCAGACTCTGGCAGGAAACAAGCTAATATTTATTTAAATAAAATAACCCTGTGGACAAGTAGTAATGATAAGTAGCAAATGCAAAAATTAGATTAGGGAACTAAAAAAACTATATTAGACAGAGTTGTGATTAATTTGGTTTATAAGAAGCTGTGTGAAACACAACTTAAGTTAAAAAAATTCAAGCTCCTGACTTTGGGGTTATGAGAGGAGGTGGGAAGATGGATAGTAAGGGTAGAAGATGAAGAGGAAGCTGGTTAGAGGAACCACAAGCTAAAACAATAGCCTATCTTCCCATACACAGACTTCTGGAGAAAAATGCCAATATTTGCCATAGATCCAAAAAGACAAGCGAAAGGGTGCTAGGCTTGGATTCAGGAATACCTAAGTTCAAATTGGACCTCAGTCACTTACTAGCTGTGTGACCCTGGGAAAGTAGCTTCATTCTGTTTGCTTCAGTTTCCTTATTTATAAAATTATCTGGAGAAGGAAATGGCAAACCACTCAAGTATCTTTGCCAAGAAAACTCCAAATGGGGTCATGAAGGGTCAGTCCCAACTGAAATGAATAAACAATAACATAAACTATTGCATTAATACAATAATCCAAGACAATTCTAAAGGACTTATGATGAAAAATACTATCCATCCCCAGAGAAAGAACTAATGGTGTCTAAATACAGATTGAAACATACGTTTTTAGAAACTGCCTTTATTTTTCTTGAGGGTTTTTTTTTGTGTCTATGTTTTCCTTCACAATAGGACTTATGGATACGTTTTGCACAAGTATATATGTATAGCCTATGTTGATATCTTGCCTTCCCAATAAGGGGGGTTGAGAGGGAGGGAGAGAGAATTTGGAACTCAAAGTTTCAAAAACAAATGTTAAAATTGTTTTTACGCGTAACTGGGGAAAAATCAAATACTAAATAAATGCCAAACAAAAAAATTTCGATTTGTGTGTGTTTAAGTGAGTTTTGACAGAAATTTTGTTTTGTAATCAATTCATAAATGTCAATAGCCCTTCAGTGAGAAGAAAAAATGGCGTCTAAGAAAACTAGAGGTACAAAAAAGGGGAGCATTTCAGTGATAAATTCAGCAAAGCAATTTGTTTAAGATTTTATTAAGGTATGAAAAAACAATTTGATCTTGCTAATCAAGGAAATAAATTTATGTACTCCTGAAATTTGATGCGTTAAAAAATGACCAACATTTAAAAAGTAGATTCAGATTTTTCCCCTTAAGAAGGGGTTTTAAGGGCTCAGGCATGAATGTGCATCTGAGGAAATTATTTTATTTTTCCTTTGCCTATGCAATGGGGTTAAGTGACTTGCCCACAGTCACACTGCTAGTGTTATGCATCTGAGGCTGCATTTGAACTAAGGTCTGCCTGACTCCAGGGCCAGTGCTCTGTCTACTGGACCACCTAGCTACCCCATGAAGAAATTCTTAAAAATTTTGATAAGAAATAGATTTTGATGTTCACACTAACTTCTGTGTCTTCCTCCATGTAAGATTTTCTGAATGTACTCACCGTGGATTGCTAAAGTGGGAACTGGATAATTTGGAATGCTTGTACCCAGGACTCAGCTCAAGCACTACATTTTCTGCAAGAGGCCTTTTCTGGGCAACACAGCTTCCAGTGTCCACTCCTCTCTAAGACCACCTTGTGTAAAAATACATAAATGAGACTGGCGCGAGTGGGTTCCTATGAGGTAGAGCTTGAAGGAGGTAGAATTGTCTTCTTTCTGCCGGGGAAGAAATTCTAGACTTCTCCCAAAAGAGATGCAAGGGATGCTGGCTGTAGGAGTGGTTAGAGCATAGCAGCTGCCCTCAATGTGGAGAGAGGATCTGGGGGGTGAGAGAAGAGAAAGAAGGGATGGTGCCTTGGTCTACCAGGACAGACAGACAGATAGGTATACATGACCAGAGCATGGGGAGCTTCCAATCATTGGTGAACTTTTCCCTCGCAGAGAATTCAGACAAGTGATGAAACCACTTTTTTCTTTCTCCTCCCTTTTTGTCTGAGATGACAGAGTTTTGTGTTCTTTAAAGTTATTTTCTATTTTAAATAGTAGTTTTAAAATCTAACCCACTATAGAGAAGATATGACTAATTTTAACAGTTTTTTTTTTATTTCTGTGTGTCCTTAATTATGAACCAGGGAGCAGGAAGGAGAAATAGTGTTTGGTTTTAGTGTATAGCGATTTAGAAATGTTCAAGCTTCAAATTGTGTTCCAAAGGTAGCAGGCTTTCTGTTGGCTTGAGAGAGAAGAGAAATGAGAGACAATTTTAGGGTTTTGATCTATTCATTTTGGCTAAATTCTATAATGGGAAGACCAGCCAATGAGGGCCCAGTCTTTGGAGCATGAGCAGTATCTTCCTTCTGCTGACAGTCATTGTACAGGCAGGGTGAGCCTGCTTCCATACTGGGTGCTGGAGAAGTCCTTTGCCTCTATGCTTTAGAGCAGTTGCAGGTAGCCTATGACTGTCTCCTGTTGACTTACTGTGAGGTGAGAAAAAACAACAACAACTTCTAATTATCTCCTGAAGTAGAACTTTGCATAGAAAAGGCTCAAAGAGATTAATTCTTAGTCTTTTCTTGGAGGTTTTCAAGTAAGGAAGAAGAAACGATGTAAGCCTTCGGATGGAAGGGCAGTGGCAGCAATACTGTTGCCTGTCGCTAGCTTTCTTATATCTAATCTTGACTGTAGCTGAAAATCCACAGCATTGGTATTTCTTTTATCTCTGTGTTTATTCTTTCCTAATTATATGTGAATAAGTATCAGAAATGTAACAGACTGGGTTATGACATTGTGAGCTTCAAAAGGTCAGAAAAGCTATGAAAGATTCTGTCAGCATATGGAACAGGTAGTAGCAGAAGCTAAATCCAGTGAGGAGCTACCCTTGAGGAGCAAACTGCTTGACCCTGGTTAGTAGTGAAAAAACTTGGCAGTGAGACCCCCTGTCTACAAGGAAAGAAGGAACTTATCCATCAGCTATGGATCACTAATCACTAATCACATCAGCTAAGTTCACTTGGTAGGAACTCACATAAGGGAGAAATGGACTTACAGGACCAAGAAGTACCTCCCTTTCCCTGAAATTGGAGGAGGGGCACAGGAATTTGTAGCAATCATTTCAAATTGGAGTTCATTCTCTCCTGGGACTAAGTAGGTTTGTAGAGGGGAGAATACAACTCAGTCCAGGGGTGATATTGTACTTCAGTCCTTGCCATACCTTCTCAGTAAATATTGTTTTGTAAAACTTAATTGATGTTAATCAATTAATTTATACTGGGGAAATGTTAACTTTGGTTGACATTGAGGAAATACACCAAATGGAAGCTCATTATTGACAGTAATGGACAACCTCATGCCCTGAGGGTTACCCTTAGGATCCTGAGAGGGAAAAGTAGTAGCAGCCCTTTGGGGAAACAGCTTGCTCATTCAAGTCATAGTTGGGAGAGTGAGCATAGAGAGTGACCCACACTTCTGAAATGCAGAACTCAACTGGATCCAGGGTTTTCCTTGTGCCCCCCCCCCCCCCCCCCCCGAAAGCAGTCAGGTAGCACAATGCATAGAGTCCTGGGCCTGGGATTAGGAGCCTGAATTCAAATCAAGCTTCAGACACTTACTAGCAATGTGATCCCAGACATGTCACTTAACCTCTGGTGCCTGAGTTTACTCAATTGTAAAGCGGAAATAATAACACTGCACTTGTGAGGATCAAATGAGACAATATTTGTAAAGCTAACTTACAGCCTGACATACAGTAGGCATTTAATGAATGTTTGCTTTCTTCCTTTGCTTCCTTCCTCCTCAGAAAAAAGTGAGTCAGACTGAAATTATACTATCTTGGAGAAGACTAGGCTGTTGAGTAACCTGCACTCATTCACTCAGTTTTCCCTACTCTTCTCAGATGTGCACAGGAATATCAGTTTATAAAAGAAACCGCATGGTATATTCAGAATCACAGTCAAAGAATCATAGAATTTTTATAGTTGGGAGGCACTTCAGAGGTCCAATTTATGTGCCTCAAATAGTCCATAGTATACAATAAGTCTAACAAAGAATCATCCAGTTTGTATTTGAATACTGCCAATGAGTCATTTGATTGTATGCATTTAATTAAATGTATAAGGGATGAGGTCCAATTCTAAATGCCATAATGGTCATTTGGCAAAACATTAGCCTTGAATTCCTAAGGCTCAAAAGGCTCTCTCAGCCGATAAAATGATGGGTGTGTAGACGAAGGAACTGTCTA